TGTATATTTGTTGTATAGTATTTGATTGATTGACGAATTATTGAGAACACAATATATAGTGCGATGCCCTTTTTGTTAGGAGAGAACATCAATTGTACATGGCGAGGGCAGCGTGTGTAGTGCCGGCCATTTTGTGCCTTCTTCGCCTGTATGCTTTCTCTTATTTGTTTTAGTACGGATCGACGAAACAAGCAAAACCTTTGGGAGGGATGAAATTTTCTCCGTTTGCAGCCCCGTTCCAAAGCCATAAATCCACTGAAACATTGAAAGTTGACGTCAAAAGTTCAGGTAAATCTTCTAAATTTTGTAATTGGTTTTATAATTAATTATACGCCTAATAATGTATTGTTTTATTCTTATCGGATGTCGCATAGCGTTAAAATGTTCCGCGTCTAACCTCTAAACTTTTGTCGTAGTTATATCAACATCCAAGGAAGAATACAACTTAACAAAGGATATTTCAACAATGACAAGCAACCTGGGCTTGCTAGAAATGACTACTGATGACGGTAATCATCTTTTCTTTTTTTTTCTGAAATACCCCAGCCTATAACAATCTAAAGCCATCTAAACAAGAAGCGCTATCGACCTCTTTTGGCTTTGGATATTCGGAAAACCACAACTGAAACCGAAACGCGATTAAACTTCACGGCTTTTTCATCTATGGACGGTGGTTCGTGACCCGGACGGATTTTTTATATTTCTACCCACTCATTTAATATCCAGATTTTCAGACGAAGTGCAACATGTTTCAGAAAAATTATAATTATAAATTGATTAGAAAAATGTCGGACCCGGTGAGAATCGAGTCCACGACCCGTTGATTACCCGTATTAGCCGTAAATTGCTACTATTGGACCGACGATGTATACTTTTTATTGGTTCTCTGTTAAATACAACGTTTATATGTTCTAGGAACAAGTGCGAGTGAAGAGGAGAATTCAAGTTCTTTTTCAAACGATAACGGGGATGTACCTCCTTTATACCTACTGGACGTAGATTTTGTTGCAAAATGTATGTGCACTTTTTAAAAGTTTTAATCGCGATATATTTCAATCGTTATTTTATTTACAAGCCGCGGCTGCAGCTAAGCATCAGAAAGATCGAAGTTATATATTTGTATACTGTCTATAGTTTACGCGAGTAGTACACATTTAAATAAAACACTTTAACGGTTTAAAACGCGATATATTAGTTAAACTTATTTGAAAATGATTTTTAACTTCGGCCCGACGTTTCGGATGCTTTGCAGCAGCCGTGGTCACGGGGAGACTATATATTTATATCAAAGTTTTTGCGAAATCAGAAAATAAAGAAAAATAGATATGTTTGGCCTGAAGCTCTCCCAGATTTTTCATTAATTGTTTTTTTCTATCCACAGGTATACAAACTGCGAATTACTGCATTTCTTTAATGACTCGCGAGCAGATGGTGACTTTACGCTCCATCAATCCAGTAGTACTCTACGAGTTCCTGCTTGAAGTTGTCAAAACGAGGAGCGAAAGACAACAAATAAGACGGTCCTTGCCTTCTGTGAGTTTTTCGTTAATTACGTTTTAACCTATATTACTACAGAGCTACTGCTATAAATCACTAATTCATCCGAGACAGGGTTGAAAATCTTAGACCCACCAGACCTTGTGCCAATGTGGATTGGCGGGTCGACAAATTTTGTAAGGGAAGGAAGGGGGAACACATAATTTTTTGCCGGCCGGACTGAAGTTAGCGCGTTGCGTTAGTCAGTTGCGACAAGAGTGGTGCGCGGGTGCAGGGCGACTCGACTTATCGCTTAAAATTGACAGTACCATGCGCAAGACGGTGGTCGCGCTAACTTCAGCCCGGCCAAAAATTGTGGAGAGAACTGTACATTGTGTGAATATTTTATCAGGAATGTGCATTCTGTAAGAACAATGGAGAGGTAGAAGATCTTTACGCGTCCCACGTGTTAAAAGACGTCCGCGGTAGGGTGGTTTGTCCCGTTTTGCGTGCCTTTCACTGCCCCAACTGTGGCGCAACTGGGGATCGAGCACACACGATCAAATACTGCCCACACAGATATGACGGTTAGTAACACTTCTGCTAATCTTATAAATTATTTTTCTACACTTTAGACTAGTCTGGTAATTATAACTTTACAGCTTAAATCTTACTATTATTATTAATAAAATAAAACGCAGTTCCAGAAAGAACTTTGCACAGAATGACATTAATTAATTGATAATCTATATAGAAAAAAAATCGATGCACAGGCAACAACTTAAGTATTTACTAATCGATTGGTATATCTTTACAGCGTTTGAATTAAATGACAACTATACATCGCGTCGGCGAATGCAGTCCCCATTGTTACGTAAGTGTGGTTCGGATGAGATACGAAAACTAGCAAGTTCTGTTTCTGATGACACCCCTACAATAGAAGTAAGCCAGAACAACTGGTGGTATGGCATATAAATTCGTATTGACAACCACTTTTTTCAAGTGTTAACTTTATTTTCTCATATTATTAATTGCATTTTTTTAAAGTCTGTCAAACGAAACTAGAGTTATTCGAGTCTGCTGCTAATTGAAGTTAAAAGATAATTTGTTTTCCCCCGTCCGTTAGTATCTACTTCTGTTACAGACTTTACTAACATTATTCGTAATATTTGAGAAAAAAATCCAGCAAGTCCTATGATGATAGTTGTATTATTTTCACACTTGAAACGCTAAAAAGATATGACACATCAGTGTACCAGCTCATGGTTTAAGCTTCAAAAAAATGTGGGTTATGTTTTCCGCCATAAGCCTCGTTTTTAGGTTATGTTTTTGTCATTTTTTCTACTTTTTTGCAATACAACGGTGTTTATATGATTAGTAATAAGTTTTATAGGTTTGTATAATTGGATTATATTGATAACGCGGTTTGTTGACTGTACTATAACTTGTAGAACAGCCAACTTTAGCGGTGAGCGCACTAAATTAATTAATTCAATAATTGTATGCAGGTCATATGCTTCGTTGATAGTTCGTAGCGCCAAATCAGTTAATTCTTTTTTTAAATTCGTTATTTTTCATTGGATTCTCCCATTTAATCGTTTTTTATCAGTCAATAATTTTTAAATTCATTTAACCTATTAAAATAATAAAGATTGAGGTGAGTGTATCTAGTCGTGTTTGTGGGACATTATGAATTTTACTAATACATTTTCGAAAATCTTTATTATTCAAATTTCACACAAATCAATAAAATTTTATTTCAATTTGAGGTCGATCGACATTTTTTATAATCAGTAATGTCAAATTTTTCAATTTATTTCTTTTACAATTTGCCTGGTAATGAATTTCGAGCGAATTTTTAAGGAACAAAATTATTGTCAATGTAACCAGTGAAAAATCGAATAATTTGTAACGGTGTTGGTTTTTTTTTTTTGGGTTTTAATAAAATGTCTGGTTTATACGCTTGTTTTATTATGAAGTACCCATTCAATCAAGCTGGTAAAGCATATGTAGTTCATATAAGAAACTGTGAAGTGAATAAAAAAGTAAACATTAATGTATAAACATTTAATAGCATAACTCTACAGATAAATATAACGTCAATGGTAATAGCAACAGTTTACAGAGTATTATATCACCTAATCTATCGGTATACATTATTATTTGACATTTTAAACCACTGTACTTAGTCGGTCTGGATATAAGGCATCCGACATAAAATAAAGATAAAGATGGATTGAAGCAAATTGATAGGAATGTCCCCCAGATTCCAGAAAATTCCAATCTTTGTGTTCTTGCCTTAACATGGTACAACCGGATTTTAAAGACGAAATTTAATTATGACAATTTCATTATGATTATGTAATAATTTCTTTTAACAAACATTTGGAGATATTGCGGTCAATACAATATTTTATAGAAGTACCGTCTATAGTTTTCGCGAGTAGTACACATTTAAACACTTAACGATTTAAACCGGACGTCTCGGATGCTTTCCAGCAGGCGTGGTCCATTCATTACGTCGGGTCGCAGATAAAATACATAGTTAATAAGTTAACTCGTACGTTTCGCGTTTTAAACCGTTAAAAGTGTTTTAATGTTTTGTTAATTATGCAGAAAAAACTAAGTATTATACAACAACATTATATTATAGATAGAGACAGTAGATAATGGATATAATAATGTGTTGATTAACGTCATAAAACCAATTAAAATTATCCTAAACAAATTCATATTCAGGTACTTATCTAATTTATAAAATAATTACGATGGCTACACTCGCGGACAACAAAGCTACAACACAAATTTGACATTACAATTAGACCCACTTTGGAGTAAGTACGATTAGTACCTATTTTAACGCTAGCGTCTTTAAAATGTAATATAAAAATAAACCGCTACTACTACTAATATAATACGTGAGATTCAAAAATTTATTTTCAAAAATTCGTTGTAAATGCAATGGAATGAATTGTTATGCTTTCAAGTGGGAATGGTATAAGTAAAAAATCTAGGGGTCCAACTACGTAATTTAAATTACCATCCATAAATTTACCATTAGGAGGGGGGAAGTCGAAATATGACACATGTCAAAGAAGGCCCTTTGTGAAATCACATGTACTGCATTATATGTTGCTACTGAACTATGAGATGTAAAGTTGAAATATGTAACGTCAAACAAAGAGCAATGATAAAAAAACGAGACAAGGGCTCCAAAATATATATAACGTAATACACAATTTTCTTGGGTCGGTCAAATATTAACAATTTTTCAATCCCAACAACTGTTATCACAGATAAAATGCTGAAAAGAGCAAATCTAACAGATATTCATATCTATCAATTGAAAAACTATCACAGGAGAATTTAATATCATGTAACTAAGAAAACATTTCAAAGCTGAAAATGAAACACTTTCAATATTAACACAACATTATTATTAGTGTTTGAATCCGTTGAATTTGGATGCGTGTTACATGTAATTTATAAATGCTCAAAGCTTGGCAATTATTACCAATTCGTAGAACAGTTATTTGTAACACAAGAGTATAGTTTTGTAACGGTTGATTATTTTTTCAATATATTTTTAATTATATCTCACAATAGCACATTTTATGTATTTACGAATAAATCCAAACATTTAAAGCCTTAAATTTAGAGATCTATTAACGAATATAATTTATCAAAAACATTATATTTTATTTTTTATACCTAGGAGTACGTGTTTTAATTTTCTATAAAACAGACAACAGTAACACAGGCCATTAATTATATAGGATAATTTCGTTTCCCTCCAACGTCTCTAATATCAATAATGAAAATTGTTCAAAATAATTAATAACATTTTTAGGCAAGCAAAATCGTGGATCTAAGAAATATACCTGATATGATCTACCTATAGGAGAACTTTTGGAAATCAGTCATTGGAACAAATATTGGCACCGACATCAGCAAGCATTTGTGTGTATGTCAATCCTCGCACCACCAGCGCTGGAGTCGCCGGAGCTGTTTCTCCAAACGTCATTCACTTGATTGTTCACCTGAAATAAAAAATTCACAATCTTACATATCCTTTCATTTAATAAAAAGGTCTACCATCTATAGATGAAGCAAGTAAAATACATTGAAATAAAACAAATTTAACGGATTAAAATGCGATATCTTAGTTAACTTAAACTTAATTTATTTAGATCCCCCATGACCACGACTGCTGCAAAGCATCCGAAATGTAGGGATGTAGTTATATAACTTGGAAGTTAACTAATATATTGTTGTAAACCATTAAAAAGTATTTATGTAATTCTTTCGTTTGCATTATTTATTATATATATTATTACATTTCGGTTGATTCTTTATAAATAACAGTATATTTTAATTATCTACTTTTCTAATATTAAAACTTGACTAGTAAAAATAATTATTCTTTAGTATTTTTCCAAGTTGGTTTTACAGAAGCCAAATTGGTACTACCAATTAAATATAAATTCTTTAGAAATATTATTATTTAAAAACAAACAGTAACATTAAACTATTATATATTTTCTTGCATTGAAAAAAGAATTCGTTTTTATAATAGAAATGCAAAACTACCTTCGTTGTTGTTGTGTTTGGGCCGAACAAGTCTCTCGGGATGCGAATGGGCGAGTTGCGTATAATCGCGGAACACTTCGTTGTACGTGTCGTCGTTCGATGACATTTCACTCTCGCGCATCTCTTCGTTCAACTTAGTGAGCCGTAATCTGAAATTTATTTTTTATACATAAAGATATAACTAAGTCGTGCATTTTCGGATTCGAAAGTACTTATTACACCGTTTCTTTAAATAAAATCGTTTTATCATACCTCTACGTAAAACTCTAAAATCTTGTCTATAGTTTACGCGAGAAGTACATATATAAAACCCTATAACGGTTTAAAACGCGAAATATATTAGTTAAAATTATTTGAACTACGTCCCGACATCCACAGTCCAACGACGTCCATAGCATCCGAAACGTCCGTAGTAAAATAAGTTTAACTACTATATTTCGCGTTTTAGACCGTTAAAGTGTTTTATTTTACCTCTTGTCTAGCGTAATAATATGATAAAAACTAACAATGTAACGATATCTGCATTAGCTTGCTCGACTGCTATGTCTAATGGTGTCCTGCCCTGGTTATCTGCTATAGACTGGTCAGCCCGGTATCGGAGTAGCAGACACACCTGAAAAAAATACAATAGCATATATATATATAACAATTTAAAAAAAACTGATCGGTTCTTTTACAGTTTCGAAACAATATATTATTTTTCTCTGGAACTCGACGAAACTGACGCATTAACGTTTCTTATATGTCCATAACGTTGTCATCTTACACCAAATTAATGACCAAATACTTAGTCATTGCTGACTAAGTATTTGGTCATTAAAATGCGAATTTTAATGTATAAATTTCCTTTTTCATATTGTTGTTCGACTTACCTGTCCAGTATGTCCTGCCTCAGTCGCCAGATGTAACGGTGTCATGCCATCATCATCTTGGTCATTTATTTTACTTCCATTAAGCAATAGGAACGAACAAGCCATTACGGATCCCTGGAAAGGAAGGATTGTTATTGTAGTAAGTTGTGTTGTTTGTCGATTTGTTACGACTATGAAAATATTTTTGCTAACAAAGACTTCATAATCTGAATTCTCTTGAACAAGGATTTTTTTCTCTGACAGAGGACAGATAAGCGTGGGATTCACTCGATGGTAGGTGAAATCCACAGACTGAAATCGAAACGCGATTTAATTGACGGTGGTTCGTGACCCAGACGGAATTTTGAAATTTTGATATTAAACCAAAACATGACCCAATTCTTAGAAAGCGTTAACCAAAGCTACAGAAGGCACACTTATTGCGCGTTCCTCTAAACAAATTGGAAAGTATCAACATGAGTTCGCTTTTTTCATTAAAACATACACGTACACTTAGCACGGCACAGTGTAGAGGCGTGCGATTTCTAAGACCGTGGCACGTGGGGTCCGCGCCAGCTGCAAGTGCGGCCCGCATCACGCAAACGTTATGCGCACGCGCAGCCCGCGATAGAACGCTATCGCATGATAGACACGATATATCCTCCGCATCTGCAAGTCATATTTAGAGGCCTTAATATACTAGGTGACAATGTTGAGTGCTGTGCCAGCGACTACGTACGTCATTCGCGTCCCGTTGTTCTTGCAAGTTCATCATAATAGATAAATAAATACTGTCGTGGACTTTTTTCTTACATCATTTAAAGCAGAATCGGTTTTGACTTAATATCCCCCTAGCTGGGCCCAGAAGGCGTTTACAGTGGTGCTCCATAATGATCGGTCTTGAGGTTCTCGTTTTTTTATTTTTAGATATCTTGGAACCGTTTGCGCAGCGCCCTCAACGGCAACTATCAAAGAGGGATAATTTTCCATGTTTTATCCACATCCCTTCTGTGTCTTTGCTCCGATTGGTCGCTTTCATCTATAAATGCTCTAAGCTACACAAAAAGAATTTTCCAACTCGAACCAATAGTTCCTGAGATTAGCGCGTTCAAACAAACAACAAACTCTTCAGCTGTATATTATTATTATAGATTATTTAACTTATGCAATTAGGCATTGCTATTACTACTAACCAAGATCGTCGTCTTCTCCCTCTGTTGAGTCGTGATCGGAAGGTAGACTTAGGTCAACAGCACGTTCACTTGATAACTCTTTACCAATCAATAGTACTGGGCTTCCATCTGATTTACTTGAACTTTCTGAAACTGTAGGGCACTTCATTAAACAATGAACAACATATAACTTTAAAGTTAGTGTAAATAAATATAACAATAGCTTAAAATTTAACTCAATGGTCTAAAGTTCGTGACTATTTTCGTTCTTGTTAATTCTAAGTCTATAATTAGGAAACTGGATGGAAATTGATTTCTTCTCCTTTTATTAATGTTCATAAGACCACTTAGCTATAACATATTTAGTGTTCTATATACTTAAAATGATTTAGATTTTTAGACACGGTTGTTAAAAAAAGAAAAGTATTTGGAACTCACCACTGGTGTTGCTATTTTCATCGCTTTTTTCGTCCTTTATAGTTTCTGGAACAGTGGTTGATGCACGCACCCTGAGGAAAAACGTTGTTAATTGTTTAAAGGATACGCGGGATCCCCCTTGGCAATCCTAATTTATCTATTTATTATAGGTATTTAAATAAATCACTTTAACGGTTTAAAACGCGATATATTAGTTAAACTTATTTGAAAATGATTTTGAACTTCGGCCCGAAGTTCGGATGCTTTGCAGCAGCCGTGGTCACGGGGAGACTTCTACAATATTTGTAAATAAGTTTAACTACTATATCGCGTTTTAAACCGTTAAAGTGTTTTATTTAAATGTGTACTACTCGCTAAACTTAACGTATTTTATTATAATTTGATTGAAAATATCTTCAATGGGAACTTGCCTATAGGTTTCAAAATAGGTTACTGGCTATAAGACATCTTTATCAATATATTTAGCGCAATTTTGAGATCTCAAATTCAAATATTGAGTTTCTGTGGTATAAATTTCATTAAACTAGTATATCACCTCCGTCTCGCTCTTCGAACGGACCAGCGCCTTCCATTCCTAGAAGTCTCGAGACGCGGTGATTCGCTCCCAGCACTAACAATGTTCCGCACGAACGACAGTGTCACGTACTTCGCGCGGATCCACGCCTCTCGAACGGATCTGAATATAAACAATGAGAATTGCAATAAAAGTACAAATTTTTCAACTACATATAGTATTTTTATCCTAAAATTAAGTCAAAATGTATATACATATTAAAAACTTGAATCCCTATAAACATATAATAAACAAATGGAAAAATTGCTCTCTTACTTATTGTACAAAATACAATAATGAATACAATCATTGATATTTTTTATTTATAAAATTAACCCTTACGTCTCACACTCTGATGTAGCTCGGGGTATTGTAGACCCCTCGGTATTAGCTTCATAAATGAGATTTACTACTTTATTTCCTAATTCAGCCATCACCTGAAAGAATAACACACTTCAGGGTTAAGCAAATAGAACAGACTTTATTTGGTTGTCGAATTTCGTTTACGCTCCCCTTTTACTATTATTCAAAAAACATTACACGATAACAAATAAAATTGAATACAAACCTTTATAATATCTGGTTCCCAATCATCTAAAGTTAACGACCGCACCTTGCTAACGTGTACTCCTAACGATCGATGAATACCGGAACATTCTAGAAACACATAAATATGAAATATACTGTTTTAATTCTGTCTCTGTGTGAAAAATGCAAGCTTGATTAGGAATACAAAGAAACGATTTTACACGTTTTCCTACAAACAGCAATTAAAATATAATATATCTATATTACTACAACGAAAAGAACATAGCGGAGACAACGTCAAAACTAAGAAAGAGTAAGTATGATCTAATTGCAGTCACTTACCAATACATAAAGTAATTCCAAGATTAATACTGGCCCATCGTGGGTTAGGGCTGCCACAATCACAGCAAAAGTTGTTTCCAGGTATACTTAGCAACTGCTCCCATATTCTAGAAAATGAATATTGATTTATTTATGTATGAATTATGAAAGCCAATACTTTAAGTATTTTAGTTTATTTTATATTTTCTAATGGTTATCAAAAAAAAAAAACAATAAAATATTTCGGTTCGGTAAATCAAGTTGTACTAGTATTGTAATGTCGGTATATAATAAATAATGATATTGATATATTATACCTACGACATGGGTTATACCTGACTTTCCTCATCGGCGGATATGACACGCTATTACGATCACCATTAGGCCGAGAATCGTCTGGCACTAGCACTACTTGTGAGTCGGGGTTGTCGCGGCTCTGACCCTGCTGTATGGCAGAACGAATTCCGTTTTGCAGCGCTTGTATCCATAGGTTTAGCATTTCGTCCGAGTCGGCTTGTAACATGTGACTTCTGCAAATTAAAGTATTAATTTTAAAACTCTATACACGTTCTTTTAACAAGCAACATTTCGTATAATCATTAAAAATAAATAAAAGGATCTATGAAGTCAATTCCCGTTGGCCCTCGTTTGACATGGGGCAGACACATTTCTGTAAACGTTTGACTAATCCTGTGCCTTGCCTAACCGAAACTATCTATTATTTTCCTGGGGGGTTGAACCCAGGACTTCTCACGTTTAATGTTCAACCATTAGGCTACAGAGGCGATCTGAAAAGGATTTATTAATTAAATATAATACAGTTAGTAATTAAATGTTTTTAACTTCTTCTAACTATAAAGTGACTTATGTTCGGTACAAAATGATTAAATATAAAATTATTTTTGTCTCTTTCCTCTTTTAACAATAGATTTATTTAAGCTTTATTTCAATCTAATTAATAATTAAATTCTGACAAAATGCACTTCAACATCGAATCAACGTCCGATAATATTTTTTATAAATAATAATTTTAAAAATTATAAGTTTTGCAAAAGAGAGCATAGAAGTCTTACAAATAATTTTATTTGGTAAAAAATCTAGGAGGGGAAACTTTCTTTTCGTTAACTGTACCTTAATTTATGCGATTCTACTTTGACATGTAATGTACATTATGGTAAAATGTTTAAGCGTGACTTACTTCGAGGGTGAAAGCACTTCGAAACAATAGCGCCTCTCTCCATCGAGCACCGGCTTTACTGTGCATAGGCGTAAATCTTCTTCCATTACTGTTACATTTAGCTCACCAGTTCTTTTCCTGGAAAACAAATGTGTTAACATGTAATTAAATGCTATTATTTGCTATAATCTTATAATATATACAAAAAAAACGTTACGATGGATGGTCTTCCAACAGGCCTTGGTAATTGAATTCTTCCAAACGCTATAGCTTTAACAGTTTGGCAGAATTGAGTTATCGTTGTTTAAAATCTTCATTAGATTGTATAAGATTTTAACACTTGAATTTTAAACTGAATACGTAATAGGTTAAAAGAGCGAATCGTAACCAGCCAGCATTTTTCCAAATGGAAACTAATAACACCTTCTTTTACTAAATACAAAGGTTTTTTACGAAACCCCTTTTTTTTCATTTTTACAATAATTTTCAAATATAGAAACTACTACGTAAGAATTAACTTTTTTAAATTTTTCCTTGTTTATGTAAACCTTTACATAATTCATTATTTATTACCTCATTTCTGTAATGTTGCAGTAACAAGCCACAGAGGGTGATAAATCAAACAAACCAAAAGGGTGTAATTTTTTTAAGAGTGCAGAGACTATACAACTGGATAACTATGGTTGATAAAAAATTAGCAAAAACCGCGCAATTCTCAATAATAATTAAACCGTCCTTGACCGCAATGACTTACGACCCACTTAGCCTTCTGGTCAAGCGTGACGGACATATTAAACGCGATACCTCGCTGTTTACTATTAACGTAAGTAAAATTTTGGAATATAAACTTTAGACAAAATATTTTTTTTAAAAATACAAGTCCAATTAGTTACTATTAAAAAGTAAAGGAAGCTTGAAAATATTTTAGATATTAAAAAATATACAGAAAACCAATTAGGTTGAAAAAATCCCATTTTAAAAGCGTGGGAATGGGGTAGACACATTACTGTGTCCGTATTGGCCAAATTCTCTATCGGAAAAGAGCAGGCGAGCGAAATAAGACCACAATTTTATTCCTCCAGGATTCGAACTTGGGACTGCTCAAATAGTAACAAATACTAGTAAATAGATCATCACTCACCTATATACAAGTCGATTGTCATACAAATAAAACCAACGTCGGTTCCAAGTCTTGAACGCATTTGATGTCCTTTTGAATAAGTACCCTTGCATCCGCGGCATGTTCTTCAAGCACGGGGTGCTTAATAGTCCCTCCTTCTCCCCCTCCCCCTCTTTTGGGTTACAGCTGGGCAACACCGTGTCCTTACTGTTCACTATGGTGTGACGGTTCTCCATCTCCTTGTCTAGCGCTTTTGTGTCGTTCCGCATAACTGCGATCTGAAATTCGATCGTTAGTGTAAGAATAATTGTAATTCTTTAGTCTCTGATTAAGGAATGGAATTCTAGTGTAATGTCAATTATTTAACATATTTCTCGGTGTTATTATATCTGTGATTACACGCGATTTATGATAGAAGTAAAAATATTTATTTTCGTGAGAAATATTAATCAGCATATGTTTGACACAAGAAAACTATGTATTCAAATAAAGATTAAAACCATTTGCAACATGAATTAAATAATTATTTACTCTTACATTCAACTTCATTATAAACATTTGTTGTAACTTGGGAGTCGTTACGTGTTAATTGGTGACTAATCATCAGTGATACACAATTTTTTTTGCTTAAGTCCTCAAATTAATAAACACTAAATCTTCTGATAGAGACAAGAATTGAATACAAGATTTTTTCAACGATTGAGTTAGTAAAGTCTCATGTTCAGTAACAAGTTAAAAATACAAGCACGCAAGAATAATAAAACGTAAAAAATATGAATATAAAAAGAACACTAACAAGATAAAATAAATAATTCAATGTGCTACACATTAGTTACATAAATAACATATGTACATTTTACATTTGTTTTAACTTGGAACCTGAAAGTCGTAGGGACCTTACCAATGATTTTCAGGTTCCAAGTTTGGCTTAATATGAAAGCATAGTTATTTGCACCAGATACCAAGTTCCTTGTGTACATTTTAAACGTTATGTACGTATGGTTTTATTTTGTGTTAATAATTGTAATTTTACCTCATCAGCTGTGGATTTCAAGAACGGCTCCAAATCTTCCGACAAGTCAGCCCCCTGGTGGTGGTAGGTGCAACAAGCTTGCAGGTAAGATAGGAACTGAAATAAATTTCGTATATTTAGTCCTTACGGTTCTCGCGAATGCAATTATAAGAAAGGTGACATCATTATCTTTATATCTGCGTATTATCGGATCATATCAGTTGTATAATTTGTAGAATTATTAGTACAACGAAGACGGAACGTAAAATAAATAATGACATTTTTAACCGCCCGATAACCTACTAAACATAAGCGATTTTGGATCGAATCCCAGATAAATTTCTACTATCGGCACGTAACGTGTGGTTAGCATTTGTTTTTTGATAAGGATAAGTAATGTTATGTTTCCGTTTTTCAATTGGTTTATTTAATATGGGTTACATTACTTTGAAAGGTTCACTCTTTGTTTTCATTTCTTAGTCATACTTCGAAGGGCTCGTTGGTCTAATGGTACAAATAATTAACTAATAAAGGTCGGGGGTTTGACTCCCACCGTCCAAGATGTTTCTAAACAATTTTTATTCTGCTGGAAATCTGGATATGGGTGATCGGAATATCGAAATTCCACAGAAACATCGTCCACAGACGAAAAAGTCGTGAAATATAAGCGCGTTTCGGTTTCGGACTTTAAAAATCCACACAAATACGTAGATAGCGCATCTTGTTGAGATGTTACATTGCCGTATTTCACCTTCCATCAATTATTTTTCTATCCTTCTCTATCTTAAAAACAACTCGACCGAAACAACTTTTCCACAGATCCCGGGAACCCAAGAAATCCAGTAGCTCACGCAATGCATTTAAACAAAAACCACTGAGCTTTACTTACTAATATAATCTGTTAAAAATCGAGCCACCAAATTACATAATAACACCGTCACTTTCAATATCCATTCGCAAATAACTTTCTATTGCATAAATATTTTATTCACGATTCACAAATAGACGAGACGTAACTAAGGCCACGGAACTCAGTGCAAGGCGAAACGAGTAGCCTTGTCTCTGCCTCGCCTCAAACTGACTACCTATTAAAATTTGAAGACAACTGAGTATGACTAATCTTTGCGTCGATTTATTGCGATATATATCTTAGAATAGATAAATAACAAATTTACCGGAAATCGGTAAAAATTTGAACAGGAAGAATTCTTTCTAAATAATCTGTTTATCTATTGATGAGATTGACAATAATTCGACTTTTATAATTATAACCATGGTGAAATTATGTTTATACCGAGTCAGGTATTGGAGATTTTTTTATGTCCGTTTCATTAGTTGCTTTTATCTTACGGCAAGTGTTTGATGTTTATGTATACCGACAGCAACACACATTATTATCATTTTATACATACACAATCACACACGGATGTATAAAATGATAATAATTATTCCAACGTGACATTATGCTGGGCAATGCGACGAGAAGAAAGCCCGATTTATATGGCGCTTATATTCAGGTATGTGCGATAAAATAAACGGATACTGAATAAAAAATGTTAGATTGAAGAATTCGATGCCACGGGCGGGGCTTGAACCGACATCCAAGACACTGCTCTAACCGATTGAGTCGTGTCTCTGCCTAACCTGACCGAATGTTTTTAATCAATTGATACCTGCAATGTAATTTCAATCTTAGCTACTACGTGTTTAGGTTTAATGTCCTATGTTTTGCAGTTTATAAAACCAATGAGGATAAAATTGCATAATGTCTGTACGCGAGTAGTACATATTTAGGTAAAATACTTTAACGGTTTAAAATGCGATATATTTTAGTTAAACTTGTTTGAAGATTATTTTTTTCTACTACTACTGTGGTCATGGAGAGACCACCGCCACCACCACGAGTGCTGCATCCGAAACGTCGGGCCGTAGTTAAAAATATTTTTTAAACAAGTTTAACTAAAATATATCGCGTTTTAAACCGTTAAAGTATTTTATTTAGATACAATTACAGGCTTATAATTTAGACTTTTTTAACATGATGAGATTTCTAAAAATAAAAACAAAACAGCTTTAAAATTGGAATTTGATAGTGATTATCAGAGAATTGAATAATTCCAAGAATAGAGTTTTGTATTGTTTACAATATTCACACACTGTCAGGATGAGGTCGAAATATTTAATTAAGTAGCCTCGTATTGTTTTACGTGTAGCGAATAGGTCACAGACAATACGTAAACACAATAAAAGCCCACGAGATACCTGTTTATGCTTATGTAATTAATTACGATGATTAGGTATATATGACGCAACGAATAGCCTTTTATTCTTTTGGGATTTTACTGGAAAAATATAGTATTCTTAACAGTTTAAAACGCGACTCATTGTCCAACAAATCATCACAATTTATAATATTATATACTACTTGAGTAAACTTATTATTTCGTGATGAAATAAGTCCCAATGCGAACGACATTTTATCTTTATTCATAATAACGACAGACGCGGCTAATTATAGTTCATACCACACAATTATAGTTTATAACTGGGTAGTGCAATAAAAGACGAATGCGTCAATAAGATGTACAGATTAGGGCTACCACACGCTACCATTTTTACATCTTTAAGTGGGCAACGGGCCTAAACTGCTTGGAGAAATTTAAGACATCAAACATTTAATATGTATTTTAATGTTTCAGAAGTTTTGGATGCGGTAAATTTTAAAGACTTAATAAGTATGTTATTTCTATAACCAACACAAAGTAAATTTGTAACAGTGACTTTGCGGATATGTAAAACGAATATTATAATAGCCACGCGATCGCTATAAGTTACAAAATATTTCTGGTGCAACAATAGCAGCAAAAAGAATCAACTGAATGTAAAGGATTCAAATTATGCAAGCATCCAATGAAACTCGCATAGAACTGGATATGGAATTCCACAATAACATGAAGATACGAGTCACGACATTTCCTATACATTTCAAGTAACTTATTTGGTATTTTATACACAAACTTTAGAAATTTTTACATACTTAAACAATGTTTTGTACATTGTTGAGTTGAAAAATGATTCATGCACTAGTAAAAACCACGACTTTGTCTATATAAAATTATATTTTTTTCAAGCACAGCATATATGGTACGTACGTACGTAGAATATACAACTTCTTTCAGAGAATAGCCGGATAGATAGATGTTTTCTCTATTCTGTAACTCTTATAATATTGCCTACACTAAATACTTAATAATTGTATTATATAAACAGACACGGTTATCATTATATTTTTAGTACCAGCACGTGCGGGGCGTTTAGAACGCGGTTTTATATGTTTATCTCTAGACAAAGTTATACCGCAAATAAAACATCTATCAAATAACATCCTACAGATATTTATTTCCAAGCTTTTTATAACACACCCGACGCTGCGTCCACGCAGGTTTTTACTACGTAATAGTGATTATATGACTCATAGCTTACTCATCTGATCATATTTCCAATACTTGTATACAATGCAAATAATCCCGAGAATCAAACTTAATATGCATTACTTTTTATTCTTGAATCTTTACAGAACTGTACGTAGATCTTTTTAAAATAAGTTAAGCGCAAATTTTGTGTGAAATCCCGTTTCCCCCTCGTGGGGCAAGGGGCGGACACATTTCGGTGTCCGTTTTACTGATCCGTTCTTGAACAGGCAAGTCTCAAGATCAGACTTCTGTGCCCTGCCCGACCGAAACATTTTTTGTTTCCCTGGAATTCGAACCCAGGACCTCTCGCGCGTAATGCAATGCTAGGCAACCCGTTCAACCATTTGGTACAGAGGCGGTTAAGCGGAAATACTTAGTTAATTGTCTACATTCAATGTCAGAAAATAAATATTTCGAATAAAGCTGTTACAATCTATATTGTAAATCAATTGACCGAGTTAGCTTGTTGCAAGATGCACTTGTAAACAGTCATTACGAAGTAAGACGAATACTACAAAACAAATATATAACTTTTAAATAAAACACTTTAACTTTTTTTAATTATTTTTAACTACGGTCCGACGTTTCATGTCATGTTGCGTCAGCCGTGTCCGGGGAGACGGGGAAAGTAAAAAATATTTTTTTTTAAAGTTTAACAAAAATATATCGCGTTTAAACCGGTAAAGTGTTTTATTTAAATGTGTACTACTCGCATAAACCACAGACAGTATTTAAATTTTAAATATATAACTGTTAATATCAGTGAGTATAGTATAGTGACGTCACAGCTCTTTGAAATACCGTAAAATGAAGCTACATTTACAACACGTCATACGCATTAAAACTGCACTGTAATTAACGATTATTAGGTATAGAATGAAAAACCTGCTACCTATACTTTGATTCGCGTTAATTCCGATTCACAGCGGTCCCAGACGCGAGTCCGGGAGAAAATTAACAGATTCGGTCGGGTAGGGCACAGATAACTTATTAATGATTTTGTCAAAAAAAAGTTGACTGAAACGTCACAGAAATTTGTCTACCCCAATCTCCATGTATGTGAATTCGGATTTTACACTCATGTTTTACCGTTCGTATCATATCCGTTAACTGTTGTCTATAATTCAAAATATAATTATGTTAAAAACTTACAGTTGCAAGAATCTCATGCCGTTTTCTAGCTTGCAGCATAGTAATCTTCTGAACATGGTCAAGTGCGGTGTGTCGGAAGCAGGAACGAGTCGCAAGTAGTAGATTCATTACCTCTTCCACATCAGTGGTTTTATGTCGTGACACCTAAGGCATATAAATCATTTGATATAAAACAATGACTATCCTAATTATAGTATAAACTGAAATATTTATAAAAATGTATGCATTGGTGTTATTTATTACACTATGGTGCAACTGCTAAAACAATATAGATAGAAGATTATGTCCTTAGTTACAAACATTCATATAGTTATTTAGTTTTCCGGGAAACAGTAATATCGATTCCATACATTGTACACAGGTAGCACTGCACAAATTCAAATGAATATATAGTTTTAATGGAGAAATTTACAAATAATTTAAATAATTTATTATTTATTATAAAATTGCCTTATGCTCTAAACACCATTACAATAAAATAATAATTAAGTACCTGAGAATTTCTAATCAATGCAATATCAAGATCATTTGAGATTTTTTCAAAGTGATGTTTACTCTCCTTCACTCCCTTGATATCTCTGAAATTAACAAATATTTATGGAACTGGTAATTATTATCAGTGCCTGACTCAGAACAGCAAATAGAAGTTGATATTGATAATGAATAATGTGCTCAAACCTTCTATATATGTGTAAGATGTATATGTTCTGTCTTTTAAAATATAACTCAAGTTAAATTTTAAAAGACAGAATATGTGTTTAGCTTATGTGGGACATACAATAAACATATATCTGTGTATGTTTTAGTAATGCATTTCTTTTGCAGATAATAATGCAACTGCAATTTTCAGCCTTATCTGTATGAATCTATTTATATTGACATATATAACTGAATTTGGAGAATATGTATACAAACATTAATCACCAAACGACCACTAAAAAGTGTAGAATTTTTGTCACATTATTCACTTGTAACCACTATACAATTACACATTCCTTACTAAATTTTAAAACTTTAAACAAAAATTTTAGAGTTTAACAAGGATTTTAAAGGTACAAATTAAGTTGAAACAGGGTATACTAAGGTGTCAAACTTAGACTGTCCAACACTCAATGTGATTCTTGATCATGACTGATTGTTGCAGAGGCAGTTGGTAAAAAGGGTAAATTATTTTGTGTCCACATTTATAAAACTACTTCTAATAATAAACTTCAGTAACATCAATATATATATTATAAGGTGTCAATAAACTTTATGAACAACATTTTTATAGCTTTGGCTGAGCTAAATATAAAAGTGATGTAGAATTCCAACAATGAAAAAAAAATTCTTTTAAATTACTAATAACTTACACTTTAATAAAAGCTGTGAGATTCTTCAATACAGTTCTTGAAGCCTGATCCAATAATATTGAATGGAATTTGGTCATTTCTTGCAATGCATGAATCATTCTATTCAGCATGGACATTACAGAAGGGTCCTCGGAAAAATTGCTGCTAAGGTCCCATAGTGCGTTTGTAAAGACACTAAAAGTTACGACTTAAGCAATATAATTTAGAATATACAATGGTGGTTTAACAGGTTGTATTGGTTATTTTAAAACCGTTTAAATTGACATCGTATGTAAACATTTTAATTAATAAATAATCACCTTCTCTGGTTCATATACGTTTTACCAGCCTCTATCATTACAGAACATGTTTTGAGTATTTTTTCAAGCCTTTGTTCTAATGAATCAATACTGGATTCCTCGGTTTCTAGCTGCTCCCTGTATGTCGTTAAATATATTAATAATCAACGCACGGACACATAACTTTCTATTAATCGTTGTTAACGAATTTCATGACTTACCTAAATTTGGGAGAGTCTCGTAAACATTCATCGAAATCAATTACGGGTTTCATGATTCACACTACACTTCACGGCAACACTTTTAGCTAAGCCTCAAACCCCATTCCCATAAAAAATATGCTGTTATTGATTCACTCAAAAGCACTTAAAATGCAAACATTATGTATGTTTTTATTTCATAAGAACTACTTCCAAAGAGTAACAACTTCTACAAGCAATACTACAAAGACATAATATTAGACGTTACTGACAGTTACTATGGTTAGTGATAGTGATGTATTTTATTTTGGTTATTCTTTCTACTATCTACAATCCATCTAACACCGATGTCTACCAAAGCTCCCAAAATATTTTAAATTCTCCGAATTTCATGCAGTATGCGTATTTTTCTTAATATTTTTTTAAATAACAATGTAAGTTGGATTTTGAGAAATTAACATACAAGAGGAAAATAAACTGACAACACTGAACTCTTTCGCGTCACTATTCACATGTCATTAATAAATGTACATTTTTAGTTTTTACCACTTGAACCTTTGTGTTGACGTCATAAGCTTAGTAATAAAATTTAGATTATATATTATAGAAATCTCTAGCTTTTAAAAGCATTTCACAAAATGGAATCTGAATCAGAAGTAATCAAAGAAAAAATCCACACTGATCCTATTTTAAACGATCCGCGATACATAACCTTACTAAGTGTGGTTTTGTTACTCGTTACTTTAGGTAAGGCTTAATTTAATTAAAACGGACTTAAAAACATTATAAATATTCTAAATACTTATTTTTTATTTATTTCCTGGTGCTCATTCATTGTCCGTACTATCCTTTAACTGGCATGTGGCATTTTCATTTACAGTATTCTGGTGGTGTTTCTCGAGGCGCCGTAGTCTTCGCAATTCAGTGCTTCTAACCGGTCTGTCTGATGCCGGCAAAACTCTTTTATTTGTCCGTCTAGTTTATTCACAATACAGACAGACATTCACATCTATGAAAGCAAACATTGAGGAATACATTACCTCCAATGTAAGTATATATTAGATAATTAATAAAGAAATTGTTTTAACCATTTGTCATAACAGTTAAAGTATTATAATGATTACTTGAACTTGTTAAAATAAAATAAATTTTGTTTGACATAAACTATATTTTAATTATAAACTAGTAATTTGAATATGTTGAGCACAGCTTAGACTTGTATTTAGATGAAAACTATGCAAAGGCATTTATTGCATCTGTTTTACTACATATTTTTATTTACAGGCAAGTCAATCAGATTTTTGAGTCCTAGGTATTTGATAACAAATTATTATTTCCCTAGTAATGAACCCAGGACATTTTATGGTTAACATAGCGTTGAGCAACACATTTAACCATGAAGTTGTTCATATTAATATCAAAAGAAGAAATTTGTTTTTTATCAAATGCTACCTTAGTTTAGGTAATGAAGACTTAGCATGCTAGTGTAGTTTTAACATTATCTTTTCTGTTGGTTTACAGAATACGCTTAGGATTGTGGATCTTCCTGGACAAGAGAGATTGAGAAATAAGTTTTTTGATCAGTATAAAAATAGTGCAAAAGCTATTGTTTATGTTGTTGATTCTGTGACCATTCAGAAAGAAATTAGGGATGTTGCTGAGTGAGTAAAATTTAAATTTTATCTTTACATTTATTGTTAAAAATTTTGGGAGAAAATACTAAATTTTAATCATCATTATTACAATAAGTATCTGTATTAAATTTACAGATAAAATAATGAATAAATATTCCACAGATACTTGTATACAATACTAGTGGACCCAGTCATCCAGAGTAACTGCCCCCCTCTACTCATCCTTTGCAACAAACAGGACCAACCAATGGCTAAAGGAAGCCAAGTCATAAGAAGCTTGCTTGAGAAAGAAATGTAAGTTGGTAGCTCATTTATTTTACAGTTATTATATTTTACATTTAATCTTGCTGCTACAATTGAGTATTAAATAAACCATTTTGGATTTTCATTGTGTATTACTTACGAATAAAATGTATTAAAATTTTTTGTTTAACTATCATCTAGTATAGCACAAAATATTGGTCAATATCCATTTAAACAAAACAACTTTATTTAAATGCATAATGGATTAGGATTAAAACGCGACATAAATTAGTTAATCTTATTTGCAATTATTTTAACTACATCCCGATGTTTTGGATGCTTTGTAGCAGCCATTGTCACCTTGTGGACTGCAACTAATCTTCAAAAGTTTCACTAATACATATCGCGTCATAAACCGTTAAAGTGATTTTATTTAATTGTGTACTACTCACGTAAACTACAGATGTTATTTAATACAATATGCCATTTTTATTTTTGCAGAAATTTAGTCCGTGTAACAAAATCAAGCCAACTTCAAGCAACAGACTCGTCTCAATCAAGCAATACATATCTTGGAAAGCTTGGGAAGGAGTTTGAATTTTCTCATTTAAGCTGTTCTGTGGAATTGCTCGAGTCTTCAGCAAGCACTGGTGATGATGACAATCCCACTGATATCAAGGCTTTGCAAGATTGGATCTCAAATCTATAAGATTGTTAATCTCGCTTTTTACATTATTCCTTCCTACGCTTAAAGACTTATTAGGCTGTAATTGTGATTACCCTGTATAAATAAAATTTTGCATTTATTGATATTTTGAAATATAAATATTTTTTATAAAACATTAGTGTTATTATTAACCTGAGATTATAGAATATTCTGCTCTAGAAATACGTATCGCATATTGTTGCATTGTGGATACTTGCTTGAAAGTATCTTTTTTGCGTTTGAAAAACTGAATGTTATGGCAATACCACAACGCACAAGTTTTGTAAAGTGAGTGAAACAATATTTTCCTGATGCAGTGGGGCTAATTATAAAAAAATTGTTTAGATGAATTCATAGATGGCGTTGTTGGCAACAAATATAAATAACAGTATGTGCACATAATATGAGTGATCTCAGAGTTACAGTTCGACATCTGTTTTAACAGTAGATTAAACAAATCCTACAAATACGTTGGACTTTCTTATCTAACACTATTATAATGTTTTTACAGAGTTTTTCTTCTATCGTTTATGCACGATATAAACTTAGTAATTACTATATTGCTGCGAAATTATCATGTAATTATTATTGTATTTTTTTTGCTAGCTTTTGTAGTTTGACATATAAATCTTTAGATAGTATTTTCCCGCCCGTTCAATTAATTGGCTACGAAGCCAACATTGCTAGAACTTAAAAACATGTTTCAAAAAGAAGAAATATAGTTACGACAATAAAAAAAAATCATTTCCCAAAAGTGAAAATGAAAATATTTGTATTACTCGAAAGGTTTTTAGTTCGAATCCCTATACACAAATCGAAGCTTGATAAATAATACATTTACTTTTGTCACGAACTTGCTCTAAATGAAATTGAGAAGTTAAGCGTACACTCAAATGTATCTACCCTCTCTTGCTCTGCTACTCGTGAACGGGAACTCACTACGTCCCAGCTGCACCCTTTCGCGACCTTTCTATTCTTCCTTCAGAAACTAAATAATAATTACTCTGGCATGACTCATCTAATACAAGTTCATTGCAAATATTGATTATCGTAATTGTTACGTTTGCATATTCATATTTTTAGCGCTATTGAATTTATTGATTAATGGATTTTCGATTTTGACTTCGTACAAAGGGTTATATTATAAAGATGAACATGCGTTAATTATTTCCTCTTTGTGTCTAAGTTTAGTATGCAAGGTGCAGTTATGCATATTCATGATGTATCATTAACTTTAAAAATTTTGTCCTCATTAGTCAGCAAAAACATTTTTTTTTCACTTAAGTACGTAAGAAATAAATAGAAGAATAACGTTGTTACATTTTAAAATGTAAGGTAGCGTGATTTTAATAATCTAGTGGTTATGTTGTTATAATATCTTTGCAGGTGAAAAACTTATAATATATCTGTCAACTTTTTGTTTTTTTTTTTAATTCCCACGTAAAAGGCTCGGATAGTAGCCTCCCACGGCTAAGTAATTCTCCGGTCCATTTCATTCACGCGATGACAAAGGCGTAGTGTGTGGTGAGAATTCTGAGGACTCTGCTCAATGCGTAAAATACTTATCCTTTACCCTTCTCATACATTTCCAAACATCGGCACTATATAAGTCAATTGTTAGAGTGATAAACGTAAAACGTTACGTTACACTTACGGCTGTCTCGCTTCCGCATAAATAAACTCATCAAAAAGTTCAACTATTGTTAGTTATTATTTACTAGTAGTAGCCGAGACTCTTTATTTATTTTAGTGATATTTATATTTCTAAAATGGTTCGAGGTAAATCAATTGTTGATTTATAAATGTTCAAGTATATAAGAATAAGGCTAAGTATGAAATATAATTAGTAATTTAATGAAATTGCATACGATAAAAGCGATCGGCCTTTAATAACAATAATCGACTAAACGCGACTATCAAATTTCTCATAAGAGCAATAAAAACGTAAAATACAGCATATTTTAGTGGAACCGACACAGCGAGTTGAATTCTGTGTGTGGTCGATATTACAATATTCAATTACCCATCAATAAATAACAGCTTATTAAATCCAATATTAATTCAATTGAATATTTCGATTTAGTTCTTGTATTCAATCTAGTTTAGAAAAAAATAATTAAAAAGTGAAATTTGAAGTTGCGTTATAAGAGATTGTGATTGTGTGTTGACAATGTTTATCGATATAGATCGATTTAATATGTATCCACTTTGCACTGGATTTGTTAAATTATTATTATGAACATTAGTTCATTAAAATTTTATCAAAGGCCGTCAAACTAGCATATAATATTAGGTGTGTCATAAAAACCATCATCCATCTTACCCTAAATACAGATTAACTATCATCTTGCACTATCGTTAAATACATTACTTAAATAAAAAATTATAAATCAAATATAAAGTAAAATAGACTTAAAGCTATCCTTGTGATGCTGGGTCGATTTGCTATTTTCTAACTCTAGAAATAATTCATTACAAACAACGTTTGTCGAGGCATCTAGTGTACACACACTGTCTTGCGACGATACCGCTAATAATAAAATGCTTTTCGTTTCACCTCCTTACCATTTACGGTCTATATACGGATTATGGGGGTACAAAAAATGTATGATAAAGATATTTAAAATATTTTATAAACATGAATTTTCCTCGGGCTCGTTAAGGCTTCGCAATTAACTGATTATTTTGAATTAAGCGTAGCGCGCTGAAGACGTCCGAAGCGCGCTCACGGTCGGCTTGCCTCAGGCCTTTGTCGGCGAGCGAGTGCCTTGTTGACATTTTGTGGGGCAAATCTTCATTCCGAAGCCAGCGCGGCTCCTTTCATCTCAACCACCTATTATCATTTGTTTGATGGATGCTGCATGGGCTTATATTTATTATTTATAAATTGCCACTATAAGCACGTAAATAAAAATAATTTGAGCCTGGATGTGTTAAATGGGTGGCTTCGGTCTTCCGAACGGTTTTAATTAGCAAAAACTACCCATACAGTGGATTTTAAGGTCTAATCTTTTTTTATGGTCAGTATATTCCTTACTTACTTGTAGGTTTAAGCTATAAAGTAAAATGAATTACGATAGTACTCAGGAATTTATTAAATTTTTTGTACTTGGCAGTGCCCAGTTGTTTTTTCTTAGTAGATAAGTAAACGCCTACTGTTCTTTTTGACCTCGAAGCGCTTCAGTTATTGGTTGAATTTAATGAGGAATTAAAGTTGAGCTTTTTTGTCCTTGCTGTGTATAAGCAAGGGATCAGCTTAAAAGAAACACTGCAGCGGAGAGCATAAAATATTCTTACGCTAAGGTTTAAACTTTCGAGATAGTGGTTTTATTGTTGCTCTTTGCCCAATGTTTCATTTTAACCTAATTAAAAATAATATTACATTCTATTAAACTCGACAATCATTATTATTTAATGTCTGTTACACATTGAAGTTAACAAGCTAAAACTGAAAACATTTGAAACCAGGTCGTAGTTATAACTACCTAATAAATTTTATTTATTTTCATTCGGGGACACCTGTCAGGTGATCGTAATCAGTTAACCACAATCAAACTACCTAATATAAATCACGTTTAAAACCATTGAACGTCCTTCAGAATATGCGTTAGTCAATGCAGTATAAGTATAACATAAATAACTGTTCACTGTACGATTTAAAATAGCTTGATTAAACAGCCAACAAATCTTTCATGGTATGTAGGATGCAAGAGAATTATTTGATTTTTATTAATTGAACTGCCAAGCCATCCAAACGCAGCAAGAAGAGCGGCCGGTAACATCTGCTCACATTTATTAATATCAACAATAAAACATTTGAGACACGTTCTTGCGAATCAATACTCGCGTCCTCTATATGAATTATTTATATATTTTATTGTCGCTTTATCGCCTGTATCGGGAGGATGGCTACCCGTCTCTTAATAATCACGGGATTATTTTATTTTTGACAAATAACTGGTCGACGGCCGGAGTGCTCGAGTTTTTCTCGGGGCCGGCTGCACTTGGATTTGATGTCGGATTTTTCTTTCTATATTATGAATAATGTAATTATTAAGTCATTTAAATAAGACAGTAAGACTGACGTCGTTATGAACAATATTAAACCTTTAAAATTATTCCAATGATTGATGCAAGTTTTTTTTTGTAATGTAACAATTTTATAACTACAGTGTTGTGTTCTATCCTTAGTTAGTTAGAAATAGAAGTTAATATATACATGAAATATAAAGCAATTAATGTTAAAATAAATATCTTTAAGTTAAAGTTGCAAGAAGGAGCAGTGGCTTTTTTAATTTCTACACTTCATGATGTTCTTAGGGCAAAAAGATTCTGGATTGGAGACCACGTACTTGACGTCTAAAACCTCCACGACCTCCTCGACCAGGTAAACCAACGACCTGGACGAAGGTAGCGCGAAAACGCTGGATTCTTTGAAGGAGGCCTATGTCTAGCTGTGGACGCCGACTGGCTGAAACTACACTTTATGATTCACCTAGCCACCAGTTCACGCCACTTATAAAAACAAAAAAGGGTTCAAGTAATCCATCGGCCATCTACTCGAATCATCAAGGATTAATGAAAGTGTCTATGATAAGGATAAATTGAATGAGTAACAAATGATCATCTCTCAATCGATAAACAAGAATCGTTAATAATAAAAAAGTTCTCGCATTCAATTACGTACCGTACTGGGGTATTCCTTTTGCACCATGAAATTTGACACGAGTAAGTAATAAATGATACAATGTGAATGACGGACAGCGATACAAAAGATGGGCCTTTTTCTTCTAGCGCATGATAAAGCCATTAATATTATTACAGTAAATTTCGTGTTAGTAGTATATCTATGCTATTATGACCAAGAACAATGACATTTATTTCTGAGAGAAAAATATCTGATAATTTGAAAGATACGGACAAACTTTTTAAACATACTTTTTTCTATCTACCCTATACTTACCTCGTCTACTCTTCCTCACATATTCGACTTTAGAAAGGTT